ATAAAAAGAATGTTTTTACATTTATTTTGCATGTGAGCCTGAACACATGTTGAGTGTGTGTATGCATGCACTCATGCCATGACTCACATGTGGATGTCGGGACAAATTGTGGTAGTCAGTTCTCTCCTCTGCCAAGTGTTTCTGGGGACTGAACTCAGGTGGTTTGGTGGCAAGTGACTCAGAGTCTACTGCTCTGTAGACTCTGAGCCACCTCACTGCTCTGTAGGGTTTGATATCTTAGAAATGTTTAGATTTCATCAGATATCTTAGATTTAGATATCTTAGATATCATCAGAATTGTTTGCTAGGTTGCTCAAATTGTTTTTAACTCTGGATTTTTTTTTCTTTACACAGGTGGTACTAGAAAAGCCAAATGGCTTTAGTCAGGGTCCCATGACTCTCTACAGCAGTCCACTTGAGGTAAGTAGCAGGGGAAAGACCATGGTGAACTGAGCTTAACCGACAGGCAGCATTCCCTGCCCCCAGCCGTTCCACCTCAAACCTCATTTGGTATAAAAATTTAACAACAGAGATAAGTGGACGTTCTGCAAGCTTAGGAGTAGCCACTGCCAGCCGACTGGAGCGGGCGGGTCCTCAAAGAGGATGACTTTGCTTGGCTGCCCCTTGGGTGAGACTTACGAGCTTTAAAGGAGGTGATGCCTGGGTCCCATCCCTGGAGATGTAGAGTAATTGTTTTTAAATGTTCATGAGGATTTTGCAAGCATGGTGCCCTGGAGGACAGAAGAGGCTGTTGGATCCCCTGGACTTAGTGTTACAGTTTTGAGCCATCATGTGGGTGCTGGGAACTGAACTTGGATCCTCTGGTAGAGCAGGAGGATCTCTTAACTGCTGAGCCATCTCTGTAGTGCCAGCATCATGTTTTTGTTTTTTAAAAAGATTTTATTTATTTATTATGTATACAGTGTTCTGACTGCATATATGCCTACACGCCAGAAGAGGTCACCAGATCTCAACCTAGATGGTTGAGCCACCATGTGGTTGCTGGGAGTTGAATTCATGACCTCTTGAAGAGCAGCCAGTGCTCGTAACCTCTGAGCTGGAGTTGCTCTCCAGCTCCCAGCACTGTGATTTTTTAAAGCTGTTTTTAAGTGAGTCTAATATTTATCTAAAGTTGACTACCATTTTTTTCTTTCTTTTTCTTTTTTTTCTTTCTTTCTTTTTTTTTCCCCCTAAGGCAGGGTTTCTCTGTAGCTTTGGAACCTGTCCTGGAACTAGCTCTTGTAGATATTACTTCTGTTCACTTCCCCTCTTGTATGCTGTGTAAGCGCTCTTACTCCTGAGGCATTTTCCCAGCCTCCTGGCTTTGTATTTAAGCCTTTTGTTGTTGTTGTTTTGTTTTTGAGACAGGGTTTCTCTGTGTAGTGACCCTGGAACTCATAGAGATCCTCCTGCCTCTGCTTCCTGAGTGCTGGAACTAAAGGTGTACACCATACTACCTGGCTTTATTTAAGTCTTCCCATGTTATTTCATAGAGCTTCAGTCTCCTCAGCTGCTGTGCTTTTTAAAAAACGAGACTTGTACCTTGTGTCTTAGTTAGAGTTTCTATTGCTATGAAGAGGCACCATGACCACAGTAGCTCTTGTAAGGAAAACATTTAATTGAGGTGGCGTCTTATAATTTCCAAAGTTCAATCCATTACCAACATGGCCTGCAGGCAGACATGGTGCTGGCTACATCTTGATCAGAAGGCAGCAGGAAGTGGACTGAGGCACTAGGCGTGGCTTGGTCATATATGAGCCCTCAAAGTCTTCCCCACAGTGACACACTTCCTCCAACAAAACTACACCTCCTAATAGTGTCATTCCCTGTGAGCTTATGGGGTCAGTTACATTCAAACCACCTCAATAAGACATGCTAACTATAGAAAATCTTGGGAATTCAGAAACAGAAACGTAAAAGGAGAAAATTTTCAGAGTTTTAATCTGTGCAGCAGTGGCAGCAGTGGCCTGTGACCATCCTGAGGGCTTCGCCTCACCCTAGGCACTGCCACGAGGAAGAGAGCCAGGTTCTTGACTACACTAACTCTAGGGCGGGTCAGAGTGAAGCAAAGTTGGCAGTTTATTAGTAAAGATAAGGGATAGCACACGTTTCAGATTTCATGTGGGCCACGAGAGAGGGAAGCTTAGGAAAATGGCAGCACACGGGCTTCGCTAGAGGGGTGTCAACTTAGGGGTCTTTACAGTGGCGGTTTGTGATCATGTGGTTTCTAGATTACACTGCTCAAAGGACATAATTTACAATACGATTTGAAGACTAAGCAAAACTTATGTTTTAAGTTTAAAAATTAAGGGGGCTGGAGAGATGGCTCAGAGGTTAAGAGCATTGCCTTCTCTTCCAAAGGTCCTGAGTTCAATTCCCAGCAACCACATGGTGGCTCACAACCATCTGTAGTGGGGTCTGGTGCCCTCTTCAGGCCTGCAGGCATACACACAGACAGAATATTGTATACATAATAAATAGATAAATATTTTTTTAAAAGTTTAAAAATTAAGTCAAAATATATGAGTTGATTTATTTCTAGTCTGAAAGAATTTCTTTTTGTTAATGAAATTGTCAGGTGGTTTAAAACAGGTTTTTTTTTTAAACATTTATTTATTTATTGTGTGCGTGCACTCGAGTATGTGTGAGCATGTACATGTGAATGCCCCCAAATGTGTGTGAAGGTCAGAAGACAGCTCGGAGGAGATGGTTCTCTCCTGTAAAGAGATTTATGAGGGATATTGTCTGGGTATTTGGAATGACAGAGGAGTGATAATATGGTCATGTTTACAAACATTTTGGCCCAAAGTGAGCTTAGTTCATTTGTTATTTTTAGCATCCTTGTTTAACTCCTCTTAGGAAATCCAGTGTATCTAACCACTCTTGGCTTTATCAGTGTTCACAGTTTTGTCTGTGAACAAATTCCAGAAATAGGGGTTTCTTTCTCTTCCCATGACCCCTCACTTTTCCTGTCTCTCTGTCCAGTCTCATCTCCAAAGGGAAAAAGTTATGCTTTAGTGAAATGTTCTCTGCCTTTTAATTCATGCAAATACTAAGTTACAATTTTGAGATTGCATCTCACTCTGCATTTCTTTGTTTGCCTTCTGTTTCTGTGGTGGGTGGCTTTTGTTTGTTTGTTTTATTTTGTTTTTAAGAGCTTCTGTCTGTTTAATGCTGAGGCTTGAACCTGGGTCTCTTCAACAATTATGGCCTCTACCACTGAAGTGCACACCCAGCCCCAAGGACAGTATTTTGGGGCTGAGCATTTTGGCCTTCGCGTCTAGCATTGGATCACAGCTCTCCATTACTCACCTTACTCACCGCACATCAGGCCCATCAAGGCTCTCACTGACTGTGCTGTTTTTTTCTTCTTTTCCCACTAACTAGAAAATACTTATTATATGACTTTAAATAAAATTACTGTAAAGCGATTTCAGTTTACATGATGGACTTATGTCTTTTAAATCATTTTGCTCAAAATACGTTTTTAGGATCTGTTTGTATTATTATATGAAAATCTGGTGTGTTTAGCCGTGCATGGCACATGATGGCACATGCCTGTAATCTCAGGACATGGGAGACTGAGGCAGGAGGAACAGTGTCAGCTCGAACGAAGCCTAGTTTGTTATTTGTTCCTCTTGTGTGTAGTTTTATAACTGCCTTTTATTGTTGTTTTATATTTATTCATGATAAAATCTCTCTCCCTTCCTCCCTCTCATTCTTTCTCTCTCTGGAAATTAAACCGCTTACACATGTTAAGCAAGCAGCCTGCTACAGACCTGACCTCTGACATATTTTAATTAATGTAAAAAATCTCCATGTCATTGAGAAGGTCTTCTGAGAAGACAGTTGATATAAATGTGTCAGGGTTGTATCCCAGGAGCCTGTTGCAGTATTTCCACTTGGCCTAGGTACTTGAGTAAGGGTAACGAGGACTTGACAAAGTGACTCAATTAATGTCCAAATTGTTCCTTCTTCATGGGTCACCATATTTGACAAATAAGTTACTGGTAATGATTATACTAACACCTAGCGATATTCTTCTTAAAAGCTCCAATCCCCCACCAGATATTACCTTACCAGCTCTGGAGACAGCCTGTGAAGCAGGGTGTGGTGAGGAGTCTTCCCCACTTCTCACACTTAGAAATGGAGGCCTGCAGGAGCCAGCAAGAATGAAAAGGCTAGGGATGCCTCCCTGCACCCAGCTGAGAGTTCTGTGCTAGGATGAAGATCTTGCTGCTTCCTAGTGTGCAGGACTGGGAGACTCTGTCAGACTCAGGAATTATGCAGTGTTTCGTGCCTCTGCAGCAGAAGTGAGAGCGAGACCCTGCACGCCTGCTCAGCCTCACTAGCAGCCCACGGCTGGGTGTGTCTGGGAGGGACAGCTAGCAGTCACCTCAGTGAGACGCCTTTCCTTCATCACACCAGATCCATGCGCTTTGTGCTTTCCTCTAAACCTGCGTGTGCAGCAATAAGCCCTTTCCATGCTGATTTTGTGTGAGTCATGGAAACAGCTAAAGATGTGCCTTCGGGCTTTGGGGCTGCCGTCTGTGTGATGGGAGCCAAATAACCACTGTCCTTGGGAGCCTAGTCCAAAAGGGAGCAAGGTCATTGTTCTCAGCTTTACTCTGAACCCATACCTTTAATCCTAGTGAAGGAAGACTGAGGCCGGAATGCCACGAATTTGAGGTCAGACTGGGCTGTATATAGTGAGTTCCAGATCAACCTGGACTACAGAATGAGACCTTAAGTCAAAACAACAGTAAAGCATTCTAATCTGGAGGAAGGCAGGTCCATAAAGAAAGACGGTACCCCTCCCCCCACCTCTGAGAAGTCATTCCCGCTGAGCCCGTCGCTGAGTTGGGTTTGTCCTGAAGTCTCTGAGACTGGCCAAGTCCCTTAGGGATTAAGGGAGAATGTTTTTGTGGACCCTATGTGATGCTCATTCTTTTGTGCGGGTTGTCCCTACAGGTGGTGCAAATCCCAGTGCCTTCTCTTACCAAGTCATAGGTGGGCAGCTTCCTTTCCTTTCTCTGTTCCTGTTCTAGGCGGACACCTACATGAGCGAAGATGTCGAGAGCTTGAAGAAGACCGTGCGGGAATTGCTTGCCAAGCTGCAGGAGGCCGAGCAGCGACACCAGTCAGACCGTGTGGCTTTCGAGGTAAGATGTGGGATCTGGAGAGAAGGTGCCCTCAGGACTGGCTCCTGGATGAAGTGCCAGCGACTCTCTCAGCATGGACTTCGTTCCTCTGGGTGGACGGCAGCCAACATTGCAATGCTCTGAAGCCTTGCTCACCTCCTGTCTGCCTCTGCTTTCCATGAATGTTTGTTAAAGTGTTTGCTGTCCACATCTGGCCTTTTCCTTTTCTTTCCCTGCTGTGCTGAGGCCTATGCCTTCCTTCTGCTTGTTAGGCAATGCTCTACCTCGGGGCTACATGACTAGCCCTTGAAGGTTGGCTCTTGATTCTCTGTTCTACTGAAGTAGAGTAGTAGTCCTAGTTGGGGGCCGCAGATAACTTAAAAGTCATTGCTGGGTGTACTATAATAAGAATCACAGCTTCCGAGGCTCCTTGTTGGCAGGGACTGTTGCTGTCCTGTTCTCAGAACTCCAGTGCCTGGTGTGATACATGAGTGAGTAAGTCTGTGTGTCAAAGAATAACCATGCTGGTGGACACACAGGGCTTTGCCACCTTTATTATTGTTATAGTTGGTTCTTTTCTCATATTTTATTTATTTTATGTGTATGGCTGTTTTGTCTGCATGTATGTGTGCCACATGCATGCCTGATGCTCGAGGAGGTCAGAAGCAAGCATTAGAGCCCCTGGAACTGGAGTTCTAGATGGTTCTGAGCTACCAGATGGGTGATGGGAATCGAGCCTGGGTCCTCTGGAAGAGCAGCAAGCACTCTAAGCCACTGAGCTATCTCCAGCCACTGTTATTTTTTGAGACAAATCTGATGTAGCCAGGTTGGCTTTGAAAAATGCCTGATTCTTTACCTTCCCAAGTGCTGGATATTTTGTGTGTGTGTGTGTGTGTGTGTGTGTGTGTGTGTGTGTGTGTGTAGTCCTGGAGATTAAATGCACACTAGGCAGGCATGGGACCAGTGAGGACCATTTCTGGCTCTGTAGTTGATTCTGTAAAGCATTGTGTTTGCTTGTTTGTTCGTTTGGTCAGCCAGCCATTCCTTTGTGCAGCGAGCAGAGGACACTTTGCTGTCCTGGCGTGCGTATGGAGGTCAGAGAACAGCTTACAGGAGTCAGTTTTCTCTTTCTACCATGTGGGTCCTGGGGACTGAACTACATTTGCCCTGCTGAGCCATCTCATCAGCCCCCCCCCCAAGTAATCTAGATTGTTTTAGAGGATTAAAAAAATACAAAATCTATGAACAGGAAAAGCTCCTTTCTATTAGGAGTATGCGAGGTCTTCGGCTCAACGTGGAAAAACCTTGGGGTGCAGAATGCTGTGCACTGGGCAGCTCTCTGTCTATTCTGTGTGCCGTCTCCCTTCTGTTACCTGTTACTGCTCACAGATAGATACGGGATGATAGGATTGTATTTGCCGCAGGCACACTGGGAGCTTGTGGAAGGAGGAAGGCCAGCCTGAACGCTTTTCCATAGAGAAAAAGAGTTGTTTTTTATATTGTGGGTGGGTGGTTGTCACAGTGCGTATGTGGAGGTTGGGTGTCTCTTTGCTGGAGTTGGTTCTTCCCTGACATCAAACTCAGGTCTCCGGGCTCGATGGCGGCCACCTTTACCCTCTGAGCCATCTACGGACCCTAGAAGAAGATCGAGGATGAAGGAGAACAGCACTGAGAATAATGGCCTGCCTTGGGGTTAGGGAAACTGAGCTGAGACATAACTTTCCTTAGAGCTGGGTTCAGGTTCTGTTGGACGGATTCATGAACGACCGTGTGGGGCTGTTTGTGAGCGCTTGCTACAGCGGGTTTAGACAAGGGAGAGAGACTTAGTATTTCTCAGTGCTGGGTTTCTAAGCAGACTTTCCTGTTAAACATAGTTTGACTTAGGGCAGTTTTAAGACCAGTTTGTGAGCAAAGCAGCCCTTTGGTAAAGGAGTTCCCAGTCTCTGTCCTGTGACCCAGTTTAGATAATCTGGTTATTTATGTATCAGTTTGATGACCACCTAGTTCCTCTGTTCTCTGGAAGAAATACAAGGAAAGGAGGCTGAAACTGTAGCCCTAAGCATGTTTAGGATCTTGGGAGGCCGTGAGAAGTTGTGGCATTCCAGACATGCTTGTGATTTCCGACGGCACATGGTGGAGTCTGCTGCTTCAAAGGCCGGCCTGAGGCAGCAGCAGCCAGTTTGGGATAGTGGAACTGTCAGGTCCCTTCTTACATGAACAGGGCAGGCTGAGCTGCTGTGACTGATTCCGAAAACAAGTCTGGTCTGTTTGTTTTCCCCCTTTGGGGCCTGTTTGTTTTGTAGGTTTGTTTTTGCATCTTTGTGATTTTATGATAGACACTGGAGGTTTAGATCATAGCTGTGTTATCTGTGCTCTGGCACACATCAGTCTGAGCATGGTGCTTATGTACTGAGAAGAGAGCCCTTTTTCTAAGCTCCTGCTGAAGAAGCTGGCCTGTTTCAGGCTAATACTCATTTTTGAGGGTGTTCCTTAACCTCTCCTGAGGAATACTTTGTCCAGTCTGCTTTTCTGAACCGGGGGTATGAAGGGCAAGATTGACCATGATCATCAGTATCGCCTATCGTGGAGTATGAATTCCTGGTCTACTGGCTGCCTGCTGTCAGGAGGAATTTGCAGTGAATTAGCTTGGTCCCATCCCATACTTGTGCATTGGGCTTTCTCTTCCATGATTCACCCAGGTCCTCCAGAGCTTATCTGGATCCTCTTTTACCAAGTGGTGAGGCTCTGTCTGGGGTGAATGGGAAGCAGAGAAATGAATGGTGAAGTTCCTGGTAGTAGCACGGGCCCTGGCATTCTCTAGCTTTGTGTGTGCCAGGGCGAGCATTGGACTAAATGAACTCCAGTTCCACCCCAGCCTACCAAGCAGATGCTGCATGCAAGGAACTGCGTGGCTCTTTGGAAATGTGCAAGGACCCCAGGTCTGTGCAGCATGAACTTACACTGTGCTCAGGGCCACACAGAACCGGAAAACCTGCTCGGGGCTAGGAGGGTGTTTAGAAGGGTTATCTGTGAGTCTTGGGGGGTAAGCAGGAGTTGGGGAGGTGTAAGGAGAGGAAACAAGGCAAGTTCTTTCTTTACTTTCCCATTCTAACAGTTGAAAGTTCTGCTGGTCTTTCCAAAGTGCTTTCTCATCCGCTAGGTGATTCTGCATGTTGCATTGCAGCACCTGTGCAGGCATCATGTTGGCCTTGGTGTGGAGGCAGAGATGTGGGGAAATGGCAGGCTGGAAGTGTGTCAGCCAGGGGATCTTAATGAACCGTGTGCCGGTTAACCTTGGAGATGGTGTCAGTCTGTGCGGGTCGATTGTTCTCCACGGTAGTCCTGGTGGAGACGGGGATGACAGCGTGCTCTGTGCTCATCATGGTGGCTTCCTCTGTCCCAGAGGGCTCTGAAGCCTCCCCAGGTTCTCTTTCTACGGCTTATCTACGTTTGCCTTTTCTCTTCCGCCTTTGAACACACATCACAGGTTACACTCAGCCAGTATCAGCGAGAGGCAGAGCAGAGTAATGTGGCCCTTCAGAGAGAAGAAGACAGAGTGGAGCAGAAGTCGGCAGAAGTTGGGGAGCTACAGAGGCGCTTGTTGGGGATGGAGACGGTAATGGTGATGTTTGGGGCCAAAATGGACCCCAGGCTTCTTTTCCTGGTAGCTCAGTAGCATCCCTTTCCAGCAGCCGTGCACACCCCCTTCCGATCCCTTCCAGCATTTTAAGAATGGGAAGTCGGACCTCTTCCAGCCTCCGTCTCCTTTTTTTTTTTTTTAAAGATTTATTTATTTATTATGTACACAACATCCTGCCTCTATGTATGCCTGCATGCCAGAAGAGGGAGCCAGATCTCATTACAGATGGCTGTATGAGATCCATGTGGTTGCTGGGAATCGAACTCAGAATCTCTGGAAGAGCAGCCCGTGCTCTCAACCACTGAGCCATCTCTCCAGCCCCCCAGCCTCCGTCTTCTTCCACTGCAGGAGAAACCGTTCCCACTTTAGACCTGTTCTTAAACAGATGCCCCCTTTGGGTTTCTGAAGACACTTCTTAGCAGCCAGTCACTCTACCTGGTTCACCCAGTACTGCCCGCCAGGGCTGGCAGGTGGGTTTGCACAACACAGGCCTAGTTCTCCCTCCGGCAGCTGGGTGAGGCTGGGAAGTTTCTGTGTGCTGAAGGGAAAGGCTGTCCTTGACAGGGGAGGGCACCCAGCAAACCAGCCTGGCTTGCTGCTCTTTGGCAACAGTCCCAGGCCCAGTGGCAGCCAAGTTGCTTTCTGGGTACCTGTTTCACCCCAAGCACAGATTCTGTTGCTGTCCTTTCCTGCTGCATGCCTTTTTGTCCCCCACAGGAGCATCAAGCCTTACTGTCAAGAGTCAGAGAAGGGGAGCTGGCCCTAGAGGAGCTGCGAATCAAGAACGCCGACTGCCAAGCAGAAAAGGAAAAGTAAGGGCCCTTGCTCACTGTAAGGTTGGGTGTAGGAAAGAGAGGGCGGGTGGTGCAGCCTGCTGCCAGGGCTAGGAGGAAGCTGGTGCTGAGGTCAGATCTTCCAGTTCCAACTCAGTGTGCTCACATAGGCTGGAGCCCCACCCAGGCAGATACTGTTCGGAAGGCTGTCTTCTTCAGGGAGCTCATTTAACATGTGGGCAGTGACCTAAAGAAAAGGACTTTATGGTTTTAGAGCTGAGGTCAGGCAGAGCTGAAGAAGCGTGGCTGTTGCAGCTCCACTAGAGGAATTTTCACTGGGGTACCACTCCAGGTTTCTCACTCCTAGAGCAGACCCACGGGACGCTCGGAAGATCGTGTAATTCCTCCAGTCTTTCGGAGACAGAACGGATGCCTCCATGAGGACTTGCTGTTGCTCTAAGCAGTTCAGATAGAAACCAAGAACTACCTGCTGTCCGTGGAGACCTGTAGGGATTACTGAGAGTT